TATATATATTACATAGAAATGGTACAATTTCTAAGTTTTAAGATTTCATATGTTTACTATGGGGCAGCTGTTGTGGTTAGTGGAGTCGTCCTGGAACCGGACGGTCACCGGTTTGATTCCCCGCATTCCAGATGTGTCAATCATTGTGTCCTTGGGCAAGACACTTCACCCACCTTGCCTACTGATGGTGGTCAGAGGGTGGCACCGGTGCGTGGCAGCCCTGCCTCTGTCAGTGCCCCAGAGCAGCTGTGGGCGTAGTTTGCCACCATCAAAGTGTGAATGGGTGAATGCCTAAAGTGTAAAGTGCCTTGGGGTCCAAGTGGATTTGATAAGGTGCTATAGAAGTTCAAGCCATTTACCATGAACTATGTTACATTGTGAATATGACATCGTTACGCATTGTGCAAATCCATACATTCTGTTTTTATTACCATTTTACACGGTGTCCCAACTTTATCAGATTTGTGGTTGTACTTTTGCATTTTGACCTTATGGGATTGTTTTGCTTTTATTGTATCCTTCTCTGTTTAGGAGATGAGATTCTGGAGGTAAATGGGGAGTGTCTCCAAGGACTCACACACCATCAGGCAATTCAAATCTTTAAGGTGAATTTTATGTTTTCAGTTAGTTCAAAGTCATTAAGATTACTAAAGTTCATTTATTTATTTATTTATTTATTTATTTATTGCTGTTAAAAATGTTCTTGACAAAATTTGATTTTAAAGTTTTGACAAGTTTAAGTGGTTTTATACTTGCTTCTGCATCTTGTTCCAAATGAACTGTATTGAATTTGAATAACTTGTTTGAAGCAGTGTGTTAAAAAAATCAATTTGTGTTTTCCTTCACTTTCCTAATTAGCACCACCCTTTATATTTTTTTAAACAGCAGCTGGAAAAAGGTGTCGTGACTCTCACTGTTCGAACACGTCTGCGAAATCCCAGCCTAACACCACGTACAACACCTACCATCCTCAGTCGCTCTAGTTCACCCAGTTCTAACACTGGTGTAACTACAACTGTTCCTATAGGAGTGGAAGAGGCTGATGGAAACAGAGTTCCTGGCCCAGATTCAAAGGACTGCATCATCATGGAGATCATGCTTCATAAAGGTTAGTTTACTAAAACAAAAAAGAAGAAAAACAGAATAAAAAAAGAACACATTTGGATCAGTGAGTGTCCCAATGATCCTAGGAGCTATGTTGTCAGGGGCTTCAGGCCCCAGTAGGGTCACCCAAGGCAAACAGGTCCTAGGTGAGGGATCAGACAAAGTGCAGCCCTAAGACCTCTATGATGAACACAATAAATGGATTCAGTGTTCCCTCAGCTGGATGCGGGTCACAGGGGTCCCACTCTGGAGCCAGGCCTGGAGGTGGGGCACGCTGACGAGCACCTGGTGGCCGGGCTTTCATCCATGGAGCCTGGTCAAACACAGCCCAAAAAGGAGACATGGGTCCCCCATCCCATGGGCTCACCACCTGTGGGAGGGTCTGTAGGGGTCGGGAGCATTGTGTGTTGGGCAGTGGTCGAGGTGAGGACCTTGGCGGTCTTATCCTCAGCTACAGAAGCTGGCTCTAGGGACATGGAACGTCACCTCTCTGGTGGGTTAGGAGCCTGAGCTGGTGTTTGAGGTTGAGTGGTTCCATCTAGATATAGTCAGACTCACCTCGACACACCGCTCTGGAACCAGTCTCCTCGAGAGGGGTTGGGCACTTTTCCACTCTAGAGGTGCCCATGCTGAGAGGTGCCGAACAGGAGTGGGCATACTTATTGCCCCCCATCTCGGTGCCTGTACGTTGGGGCTCACCCTGGTGTATGAGAGGGTAGCCTCTCTCCACCTACTTGTGGGAGGACGGGTCCTGACTGTTGTTTGTGCCCATGTGCCTAACAGCAGCTCAGAATACCCACCCTTTTAGGAGTCCTTGGAGGGGGTGCTGGAGAGCGCTCCTAATGGGGACTCCCTTGTTCTGCTGGGGGACTTCAACGCTCACGTGGGTAATGACAGTGAGACCTCTGATCTGAACCCGAGCAGTGTTTTGTTATTGGAATTCTGTGCTCGTCATGGATTGTCCCGAACACCATGTTCAAGCATAAGGGTGTCCATATGTGCTCTTGGCACCAGGACACCCTAGGCCGCAGTTTGATGATCAACTTTGTTGTTGTTTCATCTGATCTGCGGCCACATGTCTTAGACACTTGGTTGAAGAAAGGGGTGGAGCTGTCAACTGACCACTACCTGGTGGTGAGTTGGCTCTGTTGATGGGGGAGGATGCCGGTCAGACCTGGCAGACCCAAACGTATAGTAAGGGTCTGCTGGGAATGTCTGGCAGAGTCTCCCCTCAGACGGAGCTTCAACTCACACCTCCAGGAGAACTTTGAACACAATCCAGGGGAGGTGGGGGACATTGAGTCCGACTGGGCCATGTTCAGTACCTCCATTGTCGAAGCGTCTTAACAGAACTGTGGCCATAAGGTTGTTGATGCCTGTCACTCCGGAAGCAGCCAATAGGTATTGGCAGTTCAAGTGGATTGCGGCTCGGATGGTCACTGAGGCAAAAACTCGGGCATGGGAGGAGTTGGGAGAGGCCATGGAAAAAGACTTAAGCACAGCTTTGAGGTGATTCTGGTCCACCATACAGCATCTCGGGGGCGGGGAGCGGTTCGGCACGAACATTATCTATGGTGGGGATGGTGTGCTGCTGACCTCAACGCGGGACATTGTGGGTTGGTGGGCAGAATACTTCGAAGACCTCTTCTATTCTACTGACACGTCTTCCCATGAGGAAGCAGAGCCTGAGGACCCTGGGTCGGACTCTCCAATCTCTGGTGCCGAGGTCACTGAGGTGGTTAAAAAGCTCCTTGATAGCAGGGCGCCGGGGGTGGATGAAATTCTCCCGGAGTTCCTTAAGGCTCTGGATGTCATGGGGTTGTGTTGGTTTACGTGATTCTACAATATCACGTGGACATTGGGGGCAGTTCCCCTGGATTGGAAGACCGGGATGGAGGTCCCCTTATTTAAAAAGGGGGACCACAGAGTATGTTCCAACTATAGGGAGATCACACTTCTGAGCCTCCCTTGAGGTCTAGGGGGTCAGGGGTTCTGGAGAGGAGGGTCCATCGGATAGTCGAATCTCGGATTCAGGAAGAGCAGTATGGTTTTTGTCCTGGTCATGGAACAGCAGACCAGCTCTACACCCTCAGCAGGGTCCTGGAGAATACATGGGAGTTCGCCCAACCAGTCTACATGTGTTTTGTGGACTTGGAGAAGGCGTTAGACCATGTTCCTCTGGGATTCCTGTGGGCGGTACTCCGGGAGTATGGGGTACCAGGTCTGTTGATATGGGCTGTTAGGTCCCTGTATGACCAGTTCCAGAGTTTGGTCCTCATTGCCAGTAGTAAGTTGGACTTGTTTTCCGTGAGAGTTGGACTCCACCAAGGTTGCCCTTTGTCACCGATTCTGTTCATAACTTTTCTGGACAGAATTTCTAGGCACAGACAAGGTGTTGAGGGGATCTGTTTTGGTGGCCTTAGGATCTCGTCTCTGCATTTTGTGGATGATGTGGTCCTACTGGCTTCATCAGATCATGATCTCCAGCTGTCACTGGAACGATTCGCAGCAGAGTATGAACCAGCCGGGATGTGGATCAGTGCTTCCAAATCAGCGACCATGGTCTGCTCTCCAGAGCTGACAGGGTCCCACTCACCTGGGCTGACATGTTCTCATGCACCCGAGAGGCTCGACACCTCCTCAGCCTGCGCTGCCTAGAGGATTTCTGATGCCTCATGCTGTCTTAGAATCCCTAGGGGAGGGGAAGTGGTCTCCATGCACTGCAGCCTCTGAGATGATCCCCACAACTGCTGCAGCCCTCTCTGAGGTCTCCACTCCTGCTGAAAGCAGCTCCCACGGTGGTCTCCGCACCTGCTGCAGCCCACTCTGAGGTCTCATCATCCACTGCAGCCCCCTTCGAAGTATCATCGTCTGCTGCAGTCCACTCTAAGGTCTCATCGCCTGCTGCATCTTGACCTGCGTCTTTGTTTGGCCCATCCTCACAATCTTCTCCAGAGTCTTCAGCCCCATCAGTCCCAGAGTCTATCAGTTCCAGAGTCTTCAGTCTTTGGCTCATCAGTCCCATTGCTTCCTGTCCCCTCAGTCATGGGATCTCCTGGTTTTTCATCTACAGCTGCTCCCAAGTCATCTACACCTGATCCCCAGTTCTATATCTGCACCTGAGTCCCGTGTTGTCTGTTCTCATGTTGTCTGAGCCATTTGGTTCTTCATCTGATCCCACTCCTGAGTCATCTTCATCTACCTACGAGTCTCCAGGTTCCTCGTCTGCTCCCGAATCGTCATGTTCTTTGTCTGCTCCCTAATCATCTATGTCTGCTGCCCAGTCATTTACTCCTGCTACAGCTCGCTAGTCATCTGCTCCTACTCCAGTTCTCCAGTCTCCTGTTCCAGCTTCTGAGTCCCCTGAGAAAACCTGCTCCCAAGTCTTTCATGATTCTGACCTGGCAGGCCCTGGGCAACCCTTCTGAGTTCCCACTTTGCTTCGGCCGGTCCCAGGGGCCATCCTCCTGAGCTCCAGCTTCGCCTTGGCCGGTTCCTGGACTGTCCTCCTGAACTCTCACCCCACACCAGATGCACCTAGGGTCATCTGTAGAGACTATTTGTTTGGTGTTTTTTTTTTTTATCTCCCAGGGTTCTCCTGTCAACCTTTAGTTCTTTGCTTTGTTTTCAGTTTTTCTTGTACTTTTTCCATCTTGTCTGTTCATCCTAAAACTTATCTTATGTGTCTCTTGCCCTCTTGCCCTCCATCCTGTTTGTCCGTACCCGCTCCCGTGTTCGTGTTTTTTGGTGTTATCGTCCGGCGACAATCTTTAGTGGGAGGCTACTGTGAGGATCTGTGTCTTGTGCTCTGTCTCCCTCTTGTGTTTATTATCTCTGTTCTCACATTCATTCACCTCAGTTCATTCACTGGAAGTACATCTACTACAGATTATCTTTTGAAATCAATCTACCATTGTCCACTCACCAAAGAAAGTAAAATTAATGAAAGTGTGTGTAAAAAAATGTTAACACTTACACATGGTTTGAGAATGTGCTTGCCTCAACTTCCGGGTTAATAATGAGAGATTGAAGACCTGTGCATTGGTGGCTCCTACAGTTATTTTGTTAAAGTTTTGAAAATCATCAAAGTGAGACACTTTTTCCCAAATCAACTGCAGTTCAATTCCAGGTCAATAACAAGACTCTTAACAACTGTAATCGTCCCCACTCTTAAGGGACGGCTCCTGACATTCTAACTCAAAAATATTCTGACTTGGCAGGGTGGAGGGGTAAACTTACAGGATGGAGTGCAAGAAACCAAAACACAAAGATACAAGGATACATGAACAAAAAACTGACAGGAGAAGCCTGTGATAATAAACACAAAATGTCTCTATGAATGATGGCATGTCAGGCAAAAGTTAAGAGTTTTGACGGGCAGCCTGGGGCTCTTCCGGCACAAAGCAAGAGTTCTGGCAGGGCGGCATGGAGCTCGTCTGACACTGGGCAGTGAGATTGCTTCAGCTCTTCACTTCTTAAGGTCCTCCAAAGACTGCTCTGCCAACTTTTTTTTTCTGGCTCTGAGATTAATTTTCTTTCCTGGTGTGCTCTTGATGCAGAAAGAGTGTATTTTGACCAGGCAGAACCTACAGATGCCATGAGTTCCATGGTGAGGGGAACCTGTGTGACGCCACCATGCATTGCAACATAGTCACATAAAACCCCTGGCAAAAAGTATGGAATCACCAGTCTTGGATGAACACTCATTCAGACATTTCATTCTGTAAAACAAACTCAGATCAAAAACATGATACAATAATAAGGTCATTCCAAAGTGCAACTTGTTGGCTTTCAGGAATACTCAAAGAAATGAGGAGAAACATTGTGGAAGTCAGTGAATGTTACTTTTATTGACTAAGCACAGGGAAAAATATGGAATCACTTAATTCTGAGGAAAAAAATATGGAATCACTTAAATTGGAGGTAGAAAATAAGGACACACCCAGTCAATTTCCTTTCRCTAAATGGACACCTGCCTCAGATTAGATCTGCTTGTTAGTCTAC